CTCAGCAGCAGTAAGAAGCATGCTATTGAAAGGTGAGTAGGTACTAACTTTTCAGGTGAAGTTAATTGGGATTGTGCGTTTCGCAAAGCAAGTTTTTTTTTTGTAAACTGAGATACTATGCACGAAGAGTGCTTTTGATTCGAAATTAATGGTTAACTTAATGCGGCTTTTGGTGCGTAAAATTATTTGTTTCATCCACCACTTACTGATTCAATTATTCAAATTCTTTGTCTGGGGGTCAGTTTTTAGATTGTTATTATATTTTCGCAAGAACAGGATGGGGGCCTTATACATTGTTTTTTTCGCTATTGAAGGTAATCGTATTTAAAAATAATTGCAGTTAAGAGGGAGTCTTCACATTTAAGTTTCACTAACTTGAGTGTATATCTATGATAGATAGGTGCTATTCACTAACGTTGTGTCAACTACTGAAGAAACTATTGAAAACCTAACCTTTTTATTCACATCGCAATCGACAAATACACCACTTTTGAATAAGTATTTATTATGTTGTTATTATATTATGCTTTTAACGAGAAAAAAAAGTGAACAAGCAACTTTATCATGAATCAATGTGTTTCTGTAAGAAAATAACATGCTTTCCCAGCATGCATGGTTTTCCAGTATTGGTATTTATTAGCTAGGCAAACATATCAAAAAAAGGAGTAAAAGTAGTTCGTACAAAATCAGATTACTAATTAACCAACTCAAAAACAAAATAGGGTAATTATTAGTCTGATTTTGAACAAAGTAGTCTCATTCCTTATTTTGATATGTTTGCCAAGCTAACTACACTTCCAGTGGTATTAGTTAACCAAAGTGGGATAACTTTTGACTGATGATTTTACTCGGTTGGGACTGTATAGCTTCACTTGAATAAGACTAAGAGTCGAAGTAATTATCTTTGTGGTTTTTACTTCTGTGGAATCAATAGATTCTACTAGTTGAAAGGGAAGTAGCATCAGTGCAATGGTCAAACCAGATTCCGTTCGATAGCGAACAAGTCACTTTTGGTGTCAGGAGTATGGGAATAAAACCAGAACATATTTCTCATCAGTATGAAACGTTCGGAGGTGAACTGGGAGTAAGACGGACAGTTGATTGTCTGGTGACTAAAGTATTAAATTATTTATGTTTTGTAACAATCGCTCTTAAGCCATTTAATGCATTTCAAAGGTTGCTAGGCCATTAGGCCAAATATTCATAAAGCCGAATGGTAATAAGGCCGAAAAATATCCAGCTTACTCAGACTTACATCACGATTAAAATATGCCATTATATTCATTTTCCTTCATTCTAAAGCTGCTTGTTTATTTCCCACACCACTCTATGTGACTTGGATTTTTTTCAGGATTGGAGAAATTTTATTTATTCTCTGAAATTTGTTGCAACAAAGTTCTGCAGTTTGGTCAGTAATGAAAATTAAATTTTTTCTAAGTATTTTTCCTTCTTCCTAACATGAGGAGTTGGTAAAATTCGTTGGTGGCGTGCGTCGCCGTGACAAAACGGTCAAAAAGGAAGTTTCCTCAAGTCTTCCTGAAGTGTTCCCACTTCACTCCGACATGGAGCATAAGGCTAGCTTTTTCTAAGGGCTTCAAGTTATTTAGTTCACTAGACTTGAAGTGAACTAAATAAAAAAATTCATTTTTATTCCTTGGAGTGACTCAACCCCAAGTAATTTTCTCAATTCGTCTTTGATCTGATTCAGGCATTCACCGCTGCACAGTGGTCTAATAGTGCCAAAACGTGCGTTTTTTAGTTTATGCAAAAACGGTCCATTTAAGCCATGTCTTCAAAGGAGTTTGTGTACTTAAATAGCCCCTTCTTTTGGACTTAGCCATTTCATGATTAATCCCCCTTTTTTTGTTTGCCGAGATAACAAAATGGTGTCTTGAGCAAACTTTTAGATTATATTAAAACACATATTTTCGCTCTTACGTTCACAGCTATATATATATATATATATATATATATATATATTTGTAAGAGCCTTTAGAAAATCAAAGTTTTGCAAATAACTTTACAGGAAGCAATTTTTTGACGTTAAAATTGTCTACACAAAGGTTTTTTTTTAAATACGCCAATTTGTCTTGCACTAGCGTGCACAGGAATCTTGTTAAGTAGGGGCAATTTTTTTTTCTTTGTTGCATTTAATCTGGGGATGGGGAGTACTCCAAAGTACTTCGTAGATGTTGCTGTCCTCCTCCCAATTTTTCCCTACTGTTCAATGTAGCTAATTTTACTTATTTTTTGCTCCGGTGGTGGTTCATCTTCTTCAATGCAAACTGCTTTCAGACAGCCAATGGAAATTGGCAATTTAATCCCATCGACGATGTCGATGATGATCGGTTCGTCAAATGGTTGCGATAGTAGGGTGCACATAGCAGTGAACAAACAGTATATTGCTCTTGTTAATCCAATCTTGATCAGTGATACTGAGTGCTTGGCACTGATGAAGTCTGCAAGTAGCAGACGAAATACGCGTATCTGTCAAAAGATAAGCAATTATAACGGAATTAAAAGGAAATAAACCAACACATTCAAAGCTGTTCATTGACATTTTCAGAGAAGATTCTTCGACGATTTTTTAGTAAGACTACAATCGACCAAGGTTCAATGGCAAACTAATACCCACTTTTCAATCAGGGAATCCAAAAGCTTTTTTTTTAGAACTCTATGAGCTCTTTTGAAATTCTTCTCAGAAGTCCTCTGGAATTATTTTTAGAACTCTCCTTGATTTTTACTCAGAACACCTTGGAACTGAAATTCCCTTAGACTTTCAGAAGAATTTCCCCAGTATTATCCAGAAATTATTTCGGGAATGAGCTAGAAATTATCGGTACTCCCTTGAAATTTTCATCAAAATCCCTTTAGAATTTCACTTTAAATTTAATTTTCTCGGTATTCTTTTCGGAATTATCTTGGAACTATAACTTGGAATACTCCCCACAAATTCTTTGGGACTGTCCTCAGAATTCAATATCCTTGAGGATCTTCTCGGATTTTTTTAGAACTCTCCTAAGAGCTCTTTTGAAATTCTTCTCAGAAGTCCACTGGACTTATATTTAGAACTCTTTATGATTTTTTTTCAGAACACCTTGGAACTGAATGCGCTAGAAATTTTCCTTGGATACGCTTGAAATTTCGCTTTAATTCCCTTTGGAATTTCACTCAAAATTTGATTTTCTCGGTATTCTTTTCGAAATTATCTTGAAACTATCTGCAGGATGTACTAGAAATTATCCGCAAAATTTTCTTTGAATTCTCTCCAGAAATACTTTGGAACTGTCCTAGGAATTCAATATCCTTGAGGATCTTCTCGGAATATTTTAGAACTTTTTTTTTCTCAGAACACTTTGGAACTGAAATTCCCCTAAATTTTCAGAAGAATTTCCTCTGTATTCTCCAGAAATTCTTCCCAAAATGAGCTTGAAATTATCCTCAGAATTTTCTTGAAATTTTCCTCAACATACCTTTGGAATTTCATTAAAAATTTGTTTCTCTCGGTATTCTTTTCGAAATTATCTTGGAACTATCTGCATTATTCACTAGAAATTATTCGCCGAATTTTCGTGGAATCATCCCCAGAAATCATTTCTTTATGAACTTGTCTTCAGAATTCAATACCCTTGAGGTTCTTCTCGGAAGTCAAGTTTAAGTTGTCCGTTGTAGTTTTTTCTACCAGAAATATGTTCAATAAAGCTTGCCCCTCCATTCACCAGAACTGTGCAAAGTTTACATCAGGAATTTTCAATTCAGCTATCGCCAAATCTTGCACCAGAAATTTTCAATACGCCCCAGAAAATTTCAATTGACCAGAACGATGCAAATTTTCCACCGTTAATGTTCAATAAAAATTGTTCTCCAATCTTCTGATTGGTGCAGATATCCTTCTTCCATTTTCCACCAGACATTTTCAATATAGCTTGCTTCTCCTATCATCAGAATGTTGCAGGTTTTCCACCAAATAAAGCTTGCTCCTATTTTCAGATTTTTCAGCATAAATTGTCAGTAAAGCAGCTTCCCTCCAATCATTAGAATGGTGCAAATTTTATTTAGAAATTATTGTTAAAGTTTGTTCCTCTATTGAGCAAAAGGATGTGAATTTGAGACCAAACATTTTCCGAAGAGCTTGCTCATCCGTTCACCAGAACGGTGCAGATTTTCCTCCTGTAGTTTTCAATATAGCTTAATTTAAATAAATCTTGTGCCTTCATTTACCAGACCAGTGCAAGTTTTCCACCAGAAATTTTCTGTTCATCTAATTTATCAAAGCGATACAAATGTTGTACCAGATATTGTCAATAGAGCATGTTCCTCTATTCACCAGAACGGTGCACCAAAAATTGTCAGTGAAGTTTGTTTCACCATGCACCTTTGTGGTGCAATTTTCAGGCTTTGTCTCTTCATGCACCAGAATGGTGCAAATTTTCCACCATACATTTTCAATGAAGCTTGCATTCATCAGAACGATGCAAATTATGCACCAGAAACATGAATAACCCTTGCTTCTACACTCACCACAGTGTTGCGAACGTTCCACCAGAAATTTTCAGTTAAATGTGCACCTCCAAATTTTTTGCGTGATTCCATTTTTCCACCAGAATTATTCGTTGATGATATTTTTACACCAGAATTATTAAAAAAACAGCTTTTTCTGCAATTTACCACCACAAAGGTGAATTTTTACAACCTTAAATTTACCCTCTTCTTTTAACCCTCCATGAACCACTTTGAAAAAACAAATAACCCCTAGAATTTTTTTATATGCACCGTGCCGTTGCCACTGCTCTACGCAATCTAGCTATTGACCAAAGAAATAAAGAATTGATCGGCAAGTACGCGATGCGAGATTTGGTCCAGAAGTTACCCTCTGGGAATCCACAGTGCGATCAGGGTACCTCGGACGACACGATCGCAGCCGTACTGGCCACGTTAAACGAAGTCATTAAGAAGAATGCGGAATTCGCTCGATCCATGCCGGTGGCGTAGAGCGATTAATGAACATGACACGACTACGACTAAAGTACACCCCGTGGGTACTGAAATTTGCCGGTCAGCTGCTGTTTACAATGTGGCAACATCAGGAACTGAGAGACATGTACAAGAAGCACGGCTGGAAGGAGCAGGACTTTGTGACGAAAACGATCGCCTCGCGGAACGTAAACAGTAGCAACGGTGGCAGCTATAGTGACAACTCACCAAATTCACCCAACAACACACTGAACCGTCCGATGGCATCCCAGAGTGGTACCAGATACGAAGATCGAACCATGAAGCGGCAGCAAGCGTTGAACAACGGTGGCCAAGCAATGTCCCTGCCACCGAGCGACGGAGCTGTCAAGATGGGTAAGTCCGCCGCAGCTAGGGTAGAATCTAGTCACCGTGAGTCGTTCTAATGTGTCGATTTTCCCGAACTTGTAGGCAGATGAATCTACCAAGAAGCACAATCCGATCTATCAGGGTAGTCAGAAAAGGTAGCTAACCAACACTCTACAGACACACAGAATGAGAAAGAGAGTGAGAGAGAGAGAGTCTAGTAGGACAGCAGCTATGTAGTGAATCTATTTAGGAACAACCACTCAATTGCAACACTAAAACAGGTACACCCAGATGCCACCTGGTGGAGTTCGTTTAGTCTAGGCGACAATGCAGACCCCCGTTTCAAGAAAATCCGACTAAAAATAAATTTTTGGCGAACAGTTTTGTCTGGTGTATTTTTTCTTTCGAGTACATGCCTTAAATCCAAGAAAACGATTACCTGTACACGGTTTACTATAGTTTGGTAATAAGCAGATCGGCAGAGAATACTAAGGAAGACTTATAATTTGGTATGCACTGGGCAATATTTTAAGCATGTTTTCAAATGTAATTAGCCTGGTTTGCCCAATTTCACCCAACTTTGAGCTATTGGCCATGGAAATAGTACTAATTTTGGGTCAAAACCTTAAATATCTTATGAAATAAAGGGTGATACGGTCAAAATTTGGTCAAGGGAAAACGCGTGTAAATCGGTGAAATCGTTTATTTAAAAAATCAAATTAAATTTCTTTATCAAGTTCAATTAGTATAAAATTCAGGAAAAATATCCAGTTAGGCTTCCGCTTTTCCAAATCCGAATTGCCGGGCCTTACGCTTGACCCCTGCCATCAGATTTTGTACAGCCACCTTGTCCACCTTCTTCGCCGCAGAAAGCTAGTTTGCCTTGAACTGCTGCTCGCCCTTAGCAGTTTTTTTGGTCTTCTTTAGGTTCCGCTTGACAATAGCCCAGTATTTCTCAATTGGGCGGAGCTCTGGCGTGTTGGGAGGGTTCTTGTCCTTGGAAACCACCTGCACGTTGTTGGCGGCGTACCACTCCATGGCCTTTTTACCGTAATGGCAAGATGCCAAATCCGGCCAAAACAGTACGGAACAACCGTGTTTCTTCAGGAAAGGCAGCAGACGTTTATTCAAACACTCTTTCACGTAAATTTCTTGGTTGACAGTCCCGGAAGCTATGAAAATGCTGCTTTTCAAGCCACAGGTACAGATGGCTTGCCAAACCAGATATTTCTTTGCGAACTTTGACAGTTTCATGTGCTTGAAAACATCTGCTACCTTTCCCCTTCCTTTTGCCGTATAAAACTCCTGTCCCGGAAGCTGCTTGTAGTCGGCTTTGACGTAGGTTTCGTCGTCCGCAGTCAAACTTCGTCAGCATCGTCGTGTACAGCCTCCGGGATCGCGCTTTGGCCTTCGTATTTTGTTTATCATCGCGATTTGGAGTCACTACCTTCTTGTAAGTCGATAGTCCGGCTCGTTTTTTGGCTCGATGCACGGTTGTAGACGATACACCCAGCTAATTTGCGGCATCTCGGAGAGAGAGGTTAGGGTTTCGCTTGAAACTACCGGCAACTCTCTTTGTCGTCTCAGCGGCTTCCGGTTTTCGATTTCCCCCCGATCCAGACTTCCTGGCTGTCGACAAACGTTTCCCAAACACTTTAATTACATTTGTAACGGTTGATTTGGCAACTTTTAGCGATTTTGCCAACTTTGCGTGCAAGTAGCTCGGATTTTCGCGATGCGCGAGCAAAATTTTGATACGCTGCTCTTCTTGCTTGGACGGCATTTTGACAACTGAAGAGTGAATTCCAAAATCAAAATAAGAGCAACATTCTACACACACACACCTTCAAAATGAGGGGTTTCAGGTTTTTTAAATGCAAAATTGAAAGAAATACGTCAAGTTGATATTGACAAAATTTTGACCGTATCACCCTTTATTTAAGATAGGATCTTTGCTTCCCATGACAAATTGGCGTATTTTTAAAAAAACAAACCTTTGTGTAGACAATATTAATGTCAAAAAATTGCTTTGTGAAAAAGTTATTTGCAAAACATTGATTTTCTGAAAGCTTTAACCAAAAATAAATATCTCGGTAAACATAAGAGATAACGGGTTGACGTTTTCAGCAAAAATGTTTTTTTTTAATATTGTCTAAAATTTTGATTTTCAGCAACAAACAAAAAAAAGTAAATTTTTATCTCCCTGCTAGGTAGATTAATCGTGTAATGGCTAAGCCCATAAAAAGTGTCTATTTAAGTGAACAAACCTCTCCGAAGACACTACATGGCTTAAATAGACCGTTTTTGCACAAACTAAAAAAAACGCACGTTTTGGCACTTTTAGACCTTTGATTTTAGCGATGTATCGTGTTTTGCCTGTGATTGCCTTGAGTGACTCGGTTGACCTTGAATCTAACCTCCAGAATCTACGACGCAGCTTCAATTCTTTTGGTCGGTGTAGGTTCTCATTGCCTACCGGGAGCCCGATTCTTCGAGTTCGGATGGCACACTTTCGGTGTGTAGTTCTATTGAGAGATTCGTCACCGTGGGCGATTTTGAACCCGGTCCGGTTGGTGAATTAGCCCGGGAACGTGTTGATAATGTGTCCGTCGCGAGTTTTGGTCTCTCGACGGTTCCGGAGATTGCGAGCAATATGAAAGATGCCTCGCTGGATACGCCCAAGACTGGACGGGTGGTAGCTGGTGGCCGCGAACCACCTCCCAGATGACCATGGCAATGCAAGAAAAATTTGTGTTCGTTGAAGGAAGTATTATGATAAAGGTGCATCACGAAATGAGCTGCAAAGCATCGAGAAAATCAAAACTACGGAACGCATGGATTGAAGGATCAAGTGAACATGGTGAGACTAGTCCAAATACATTTTAAAATTAAAAAAAACATAAACTAAATACGTGCCTGGTTTGAAAAGAATATTTTTGAACCTGGAAGCGTGTATGTATTACCAATATTCATTTGATAATGGTGATGCATACATGCGGGGCTCGGAATGGGCGTGACTCTCCAGACATTCTGAAATGGGTTGCTGGATCTGCAATAGAGCTATCACCTTCTAACTCCCGAACTAAAGATGTCTACAATGACCATAAATGTGACATTGTAGAGAGAGTTCTTCCATAGTAACACTGCCGACCAGTGGGGGTTAGATTGAATACACACACACACACACACACACACACACACACACACACACACACACACACTGTGCACTGGGCAGACCTTTCAAGGCAACCATGAACTGACGTTCAGTTTTGGTGTCATAAGTGAAAAATGTGTGTTGCTTCTCAGTAAGATATTGGAGAAGACGTTTGAATCCGTTCATGGTTTCAGCCAATGCACTCACCCCGATGGCCAGTTTGAAGTGAAAACTTCAGTTTAAGGGGTTACGCCACCCTAGGATTTTCAAAAAATCGATTTTTTTTACATAAAAAGGTACTCTGAAGTGTCAAGAATAAGGGACAATTGGTTCCATGTCTAACAAATTAAAATTCCGAAAGTTAAACCGAAATTACAAAACTTTGCATCACGCACCTCAAACTTCCACCGCGTTTTTTTTTCGATACAACATTTCTCTCCGCGGCCCACACGATAGCATCTGCAATTTTGACTCAATTTGATCTAGACTTTGACGATTGCATTCTCTGATTAATTATCTAGAGAAGTACATACGAACTTTTCAATTGATCAAAAAATGCAATTGTGGTAAACAATTTTAGAAACAAATTTCAGGCGAACAAACTGATTTTTCGCAAAAACAAGTCCCATTTGCGTAAAGTTCCAAATTTTTTCATCTCCGTATGTACTTCTCTAGGTATTCTTATATAAAATAAGAAAAACCACTCGTTTTTGTTCTAGGTTCATATTTACGACGAAGAAAGTGTGGGCCGCGTAACACTACACGGGAAGCAGTGCCAGGAACTCGCAGTGCTGCCAACTGCCACACATGGTTTCCCCTTATGAAAAAATACTGTAAGCACCCCTAATTATGTGTACTATAAGCCCATATAAGTTAATTTAGTATGTGACTTTATTAAATAACAAAAAAAAATTAATGAAGTTGGTGCATTTTTCTGTATTCTAGGGTGGCGTAACCCCTTAACGATGTTAAATAGTTCCGAGCGAAGAGTATGGAAAATGAAAGTGGTTATGACAATAGGGGGACCTTTTCCTTCTTGACATTAAGCCGGAAGAGTTTAGTGGAATTTTGCCTGCATGATGGATCAATCTCATCATCCGTGAGCATATCAAATTGATTGCTCAAATTAATTTCATCAGAAGGGGGATCAAGAGATCTCCTTTTTCTTTTGCGTTTATGGCGCCATGGCGGCAGTTAAACGTTTCTCCAAATTAACTTCCAAGCAGATTACTATATGAATCCGAGGGATCGAAGAGGAATTGCCAAATCAAACATGTTTACCGCAGGTAGGGTCCAAACAAGGATCAAAGAGGAATAAGAGTCGAACAAGGTAGAATATTTGCAAGTTTATTAGGCACTGAAAAGTGCTGTTTATATTTGTTGTAGCTTTAGATAGCAGTAACACTTCCTTCAGCAAAAAGCACATAGATCCGCACGGCAAGAGAGCACGATGTGGACTGCCATATCAACTTGATTTGTATCATTGTATATCGTATGGATTATAGCCCATATCTTGAGTTTTTTTAAAGCATCTCAGTTAGCCAAAACTCTAAATCGCTGATTTTTTATTGAAATTGGTTTGATGTTTTCTAGTTATGATAGGTATTCTGTAAAACAGTATGAAAAATATTCAAAACCAAGTTCGACTTGTATTATTCTCTATTTTTAACGATGGATCTATTAAGATTAAGAATAATATAGACCAAAATTACGTTCTTAAACGTAAACCTAATGCAATTTACAGGACTTCAAACAAAAATTATTTTTTATTGTTAAGAAAAATTCCAACGAAGAATCAGGGGTTCAAAACACGTTTAGTTTCAATGTACAGTGCTTATCGATTGCTGAAAAACATTACATAAATTGTTCTATGTTGTTTCTTAAAATAAGCTTCAGTTGTACCTTTTTTACAAAAAAAAATGTTCACAATAACTCACCATGACTCACGATTTTTTCTCTTGGTTTACTTCGTGGAATATCGCTGAATTCAGTAGCATCAATTCCAAGTTATGCTACATAACAGCTAAAATTATAAAAATATTTAACATTTGATTTAAAAATAATCCAAATCAAGGGAAAACACAAAAAAAAATTTGAAATGCGAATTAGTTTCGTATGCTATTTTGTTTTTGATAAACATATAAGATTATATTGGTAAATATAACCAACCAGAAATAGAT